TGCCATGATAACACTTAGAAGAGAGAAGATATCTAATATCGCTCAAGACAAATAGAAGAGAGGACTTGGGGACAAAGAAAATACTAAGGACAATATCAGTTTAGAAGAGGGTAATCCGTAACTTCTAATACGCTTATATCTTATCAAGATAAAGGGGTAATCCACTCTTAATCAAGATTAGACAAAGCTCTGATATTGTAGGTATACTCTTGTCAATCTGTTAAGGACAAGAACTCAATGAAAAACAATACAAAACAAGTGAGCCTTCACTCAAAGAGAGGTAACAAAATATAAATAAACAAGTATATATATTGAAAAAGAAACTGGAATGGCTATTGCCAAAAGACAAGAAAACTAAAGACCCTTGAAACTAGACTAGAAGCAAGAAAGGAGTTGACAAGAATGAAGAAGCCTTCACTCTTGTCTCTATATATACTATCTAACTAGGGACTACGTGGCGATGTTCTATAGGACCTCCAATATGTGTTGACTTTGTAGGACACATGCTTTGACTTACAAGGCAAGTTTTTCTACGTGTGGGCCACATAGTTAGCTTGATCTTCAAGCTAACAACATGTGTGGCACATGGCCAACTTGTTGACCACGTTTCTAATCCAAAAAGTCAATTAAAGACACCTATGAAGTCAAAGTAGCATTTAGGAAGTTTCTAGGAAGCTTCCATATTAAATATTATAGAATTAACTTACTTTTATCTACTTTTATCTACTTTTACTTACTTCTACCTATTTCTATATGTAATTATTAGCTTACATGATTATGGCCGTGACACATACATATTTATTCTAATATTTACTTATATGATTGAGTGGAAGTAAAAAAAAAAAAAATTATTTGATAACATTTTCTAGAAGCTTCTTAGAAGCTTTATAGATGTTACTTTGACTTTACATGTGCTTGTAGTTTATTGATCGGTTAGAAACTTAATCAACAAGTTAATCATGTGTTGGTAGCTTGCAAAATAAGCTAACTATGTAATGTATATATAAAAAACTTACCTTGTAAATTAAGATAAGTGTCTTATAAAGTCAACACGTTCAAGAGGTCATATAGGACATTGCCACATAGTTCCTAATTAAGAGTATATATGGAAGTAAGAATGAAGCCTTTTTTACTCTTGTCAATGCCTTTCTAATCTTTAGTCTTATTTTAAGACTTTTTAGTCTTCTTATTTTTAGCAATAATTATTCTAATTCAATACTATATCATCTTTGAGTGACTTTCTAGTTCTTTTCAATGACACAAGAATGTATTAAGGATTTCTTTCTTCAAGATTCATGTCCTTGACATTGGCTTTTTTACATTTTATCTGACTAAAAATTACATTACAACATTTTATAAGTTATTTAGAATGTATTTAACTTGCAAAATACATTTCTAACTTGGAAGGAATTTTTTTAACATGTGCACCATATAGTCAACTTGTACAATAAGTAACCAACATATAAAGAAAGTGATCAACAAGTGTGACACTTAGCTGACTTATTTATTAAATTTTCAATGTAAAAGTTATACACAAATACTTATAAAGTCAAATCCACATCTATAAAACTTCTCTACAAGATAATCTCAAATTTACCTACATCTATGTAACTCCTATTATGTAAGTAATTATATACATACATACATACATACATACGTTGATAAAACAGGAGAGTATTACAAGAAACGGAGACTGTTACATATACCTGGAATCAGGAACGGAGTTACTGTTCCAGTGAGTGTCGAGGTGGATGAATGAATCTACCGATAGGCTGCGACTATTGCAATAGTCAATGGACGACACACTCCGATCGCCTTCAATTCCAGGATGGATGACGAGACATGGAACCTTGATGTCAGAGGGGATGCGTTTCGTGGAGAAATGGACACAGAATGACGTCGGGTTGGATATGTTGGACATCGGCGATCATCGTTTCGCCGTCCCTCCAGATATGCACCAAGACCTCATGACCGCGCTCTTGCAGCTTGAGGTAAGCCCGTTGCTCCATGGAGTTCAACCCCGTCCCTCCAGATATGCACCAAGACCTCATGACCGCGCTCTTGCAGCTTGAGGTAAGCCCGTTGCTCCATGGAGTTCAACCCATCGCACACCAGGAGAAAACACAGCTTCGTAGCTGGTAGCGAGACAGAAGGTGTGAGGTCTTCAGCACTCGGCGCTTCCCACTGAGGCGCCATCACACCGCGAATCGGAGAGGGGCGCAAACCCTTCGTCGTTCGCTGGTGCGGAGGAGCCGATTCGTGGCAGTGCAGGGTAGACGATAGGTATGCATGGTTGAGCCTGAAGCCTGCGACCGACGGTGGGGTCGCAGGGCTGGTGAGATAGCTCAATCGCCGGTAACCAGCTGTTAAGCTTGCGGAGTTACCGATCGCGTGGACACATCGAACGGAATCCATGGTGAGCTGAGGTTGTTGCCAGGAATGGCAAAGTTGGCGTGAGCACTGCAACTCCGCCGAAGTCAGCCAGCACTCCTCAGGTCCCTCCAAGTGTGTCGACAGAGAGGTGCGTATTTTATCGTTTCCCCAGCGCTTCTGCAAAACCGACATTCGTGGACTAGGACGCTTTCGAATGTTCACTTATCGGTATTCAGACCGACTTTAAGGGTCTATTTTTTGGGATTTCACCAGATTTCTGTGCAGCAGCTGTGCCACTTCAGCGTGAGTGTGCCAGTTAGTGGAAATTACTGAGCTCACCGAACAGAAATGGAAATAACTAAGTCGGCAAGGCTCTTTCACTCTTAAGTACTGATCCGGAGGTTTTATTAATTCATGTCTTCTCTCCTTAAAAAGGTATGTTCTAATATGGTAACTGAAGGTTCAACCAGTTATTCGGCAATGTAGTCACTGGAGTTTCAACATGGTAACTTGAAATGCGCCTACTGGAGAGAAAGATGATGTAGAAGAAATAGTAGTTTGAATATTGAAATAGCCATTCCAGAAACAATGGAGTTTGCCGGTGGTTAGATTGTTGTTGGGACCACTTACAGGTCACAAGACAAGGCAGCTAGTTCACTTATGATCGTTGGCAGCATTGACCATCAAGAGTCAGCAGTTGGAGTCCTGGATTTGCTGAGGCTTTAAGGATCCCACACAACAGTACCAATTGTAATGGAAGAATGTTGATCGGTGGATTCAGTTGATTACACAGTATGCTACAAGTTGAAGACTATCCAGGTCTTGTTGTTTTGTGTGTACTACCACCTACATGAGTTTTAAGAAAAGGATGTCGACCCAACCTTGTCAATCATCAGTTGTAATAGAGTGACCTCCTCCACGACCTTGGGAAACAATGACTTGCTGATTTTTTTACTACCTGAGAGCTTCAAAATTTAGAACACCAACTTCCTGCAGATCCTTCATGTTTTAAACTTTTTCCGCCAAGGAGTCAATGGCAACGTAGAACACATATCTTTTCCTCGCAGCCCAGTGCTTCTGCCTCCATAACTGGATTCGGTCCACAATTGGATTGGGTCCAGGAATACCTACGTCCCGATGGTTTTGTACAGGGCATGGTCTTTTTGCTTCTCCAGAACATACGTGGATTTTTCAAGCCCACGTCTCCATAGATAGTTCGGCAGATGATTCCCCCGAGTCTGAAAAGAAATGACCAGTAGTAAGGTAATGTATGTTTTGTTACAAAAGATACTAGGTTAAAACAAATGTCAAAGGAAGTAATTAATGATTAAATGAATTCACATGAATTTTTGATCCAGTTTTGTTTTTCTATGCTTCTGTTTTCTTTTTTCAATTCATTGATTAGAAATTGTGTTTTGCATTCTTACAAAATGCTTAATGATCATTTTATTTTGATATAATTTTTTCAATATGGAATCAAATGCAAAGTTGTATAGTAGAAAAAGTGGATAACTTTGAATGTTTACGACTTTTAAGAGATACAATTCTAATATCAATGCAAGCAAATTTGTTAAGCTTAGCTAAAAATACACAATGCTTGCACCAAATGTAGATCAGTGTGTTGCAAGGCTCAGTTCATGTAAAAATTGTTTCGAATGCAAATATTTGTGTCATAAACTTGTGAAATTTGTGAAATTTGTGAAATGTGAAGTTTGTACAGAAAATCAACACTGGCAAAGCAATATTGCCACCAATTGAGGTTGCAAACATCTTAAACCTGTCCAAGTCCCTGAAATGCTCCATTAAGAATCACTAAACTAAGGGCGTTGTCGTATTCTGTTCAAAGCATTCAAGCCACGTCTGCTCTACAATAAGCATTGTGGTCGTCATTTCGGCGCTTGGATAGAGCTCCTCCAAACATTTTTTCAGGACAGAACATGCGGAAGAAATCTGAAACAGGATTTTCTGCTGGTGACTGAGATTGAGACAAAATTATGGGACAAAAACTGCAAAACTTGGAATTCAGTTTCCCTGAAGCCTCGGTTACCAAACCTGAAGAAATGGCGGTCGAGTTCTGCTCCTCACTGTGCTGGCTGCTAGTACTTGTCCCCACTCAGCACGGCTTTGATGGGTCGTGATATCCAAGGCTAGCTACGACATACTGCAAATGTTTCATAAAGTCATGAGCTCGTTTTGTACTTTTGAGGTGCACACAAAGCATCCCTCCTAATTCATCCCTTTTGATCAGATACTGCTGGGGGTGATCCTCAAACCTGGGTAAATGAGCATGTTGAGATTCGCAAGCCCTACCGGACTATAAAAATGCACCGTTACAATGGTCTCACTTCGAGGGAGGAGCATGCCGAAATTGAATGCAACATGAGAGCATGAGGGTGCGTTGATGTAGATGTGTCGGAGAGGAAACAAGTCGGGAACATAGACGATTTGAAAGGTTCTAGCTGATCTGTACATACTTTAAGTATAGAGACACCAAGCAAGTTGTGAGCACGGCGTTTTGCAGCATCCTTGAGATGTAGGAACTGTTCTATTGAGTCACATATTTAGCTTGCGATCCGCGCAGAAAGTGAGCAACAGAACCATGGGGGAACACATCGACTATCCCAAGCTGGATTGGAAGGAGAGCATAAATTGATATGATTACCAGGCCCTTGGAAGCAGGTAATACGCCGGAAACAACATGAACCACATGCAGTCTGAAAACTCCAACTCTTGCACATTATCGACTAGATGCCTTGCATCAAACCCACGAATTCTCTCCTGGCCGGGCTCAAAGCTAGTGTTCCAAACAGTCGTAGTTTCGTAGTATTCTAACCAATCCTAGTATACATATTCTCTTATCTCTCGATCTTATTGCTTCACTTCGTAAAATTCTACTGGTCGTTACAGTTAGATTATATGATTAATTAACGGCAGTAGATGTTCAATAATTCAACTTGAAACATCCGATTCTTTATCAACAGTGTACAACAATAAGTCTGTATACATCTAAATAATCGTTCATAACTTGTGATGCAGCTGCACTGCAAGGAGCATCATCTACAAACTCCACGTACCATAGCTCAGACTGAGTAATCTCACACTAGCCACATCAAGGTTACAAACAAAACAGTAAGCTCATCCTGGTGCGACTCTAGTCGGCTCGCGATTGTCCAGCACGGGAAGACAAGATAATGCCGACGATCAGTCCATACAAGGCAAGCGCCTCAGCGAAAATGAGGATCAGGATCATCCCCACGAACAGCTTCGGCTGCTGAGCATTCGCCCTGCAAACGATGCCATCCTCCACGTTAACAACCACATCCACAACACACCAAACCCTCCCATAACTCACTCTGCATCCTCAAACCTCATGTCCATCACCGTGAACCCTCTGCGAATCCATTTCAATCCCGATTACATCTCTCTTTCCAACTTCACTACGTATTCCCATACATCACCACATTGCAAGGGTTCGTCCGCTACCTCACACCAGCATCTCCAACGATACCGATGGCCATGCCTGCCGACAGTCCTGCCAACCCGCAAGACAATCCCGAAGAAAGATGCGCGTAGCCGTCAAACACGTAGTAAGCCTTCGACTTCGGGTTGATGCCCGTGCTGATGATCACGGCAATGATCAGCCCGTAGATACCCAACACTCCAGCCATGACCACTGGCACGATCGACTTCATCACCAGCTCGGGCCGCATCACACCCATGGATGCCACTCCCACTCCACTCTTGGCTGTTCCATATGCAGCGCCCATGCCTGCGCTCAAAAACCTCCTCGGGTTAACATATCGGTAAAGAGCGAGCAAGCTGATCAAAGTCCTTCAAAACAACAAGATAGGCCCTCAACGTCACTGCTTGAATCTGCAAGATTTTGAAAGGGCTACAGCAGACAATCCATTTCCACAAATAAGATCAAATACAAACCACCAGTCCTCGCCCTAGTTCCTAGGATTTCAATTTCACAAAACCTAGTCCGCTAGTGCAGCCAATCCAATGCGAGTCAAGCCATACATCGACAACATCACATCTCAATGCTTCCATTCGCTTAACCATTAAAACTCAACAAATCCCACCCCCAAAAGAAATGATATGTTCAGCAAGACTACAAAAGCATGCACAATTTCTTGCAAAAATAATCAAATGCCGGGGGCTTCATACCAATCGAATCATCTAGCACCGCAAATTGCAGTCACATGAAACTGTACTACTCATAAGAGAATTCGAATAAGTCCTTTGCGGGCATTTGCATCACAATTGAAAACTCAACCACCACAAGAGAACGCTTGAGTAGGAAAAAATTCGCAACCTACGGGCCTATAGTCTGCGACACAGACCTTCTTGCCCAACTCCCCAAACTCTTACGAATCATCGCACCTGAACCTAAGTGCCCTAAAATACAGAAACATAGGCTGCTGGGATCACCAGAAGCACATCTCCCCACATGACTCAAGTCCGACCCCAAATGTTCACAATACCCACATCAAATAATCCTCCCAATCGCAACCAAAGTAACGAATCCAATGCATACATGAGAAAACGAGGGCAGCTGCAGCTCCAATGAAGCCAAAAAAGGGGGCGACCTCATCCCCGTTGAACACAGCAGCAGTGGACATGGTGTCTAGCAGGTTGAGTGAGAGAGAGAGAGAGAGAGCGCGCAGGCCAAAGTCGCAGTGGCAGATTGGCACTGGGCTGCGAAGAGTAACGCGACGGATCTGGGGATCCCAGCAAGCGAGGAGGGCTGCAAGTAACACACAAAGGCGATGCGGGAGGAGGACGAGGAGCCGGAGTGGCGACGGGGCCGCGAGGCCGCGGGGCCAGAACGGTGCCCGCGCTGATAGGGCACCCCGTGATCACGCGACCAGTGTCATGTGGATGAACGATGGATCATGAGGATGGATGTTTTATAGATGGTCATGCATTTGGGACGTGCGGGCTGACGGTACTGCCCCCATTCCCTCCGTCACTAGTAACTCACTAGTCACTGACTGGTTAGGACCGTCGCGCTCCATTCGTTTCCTCATCCAGCCTTCACATGAGCAAACCTGAGCTCATGTATGTTTCAGACATACATTTCTAATATTCAGATTTACTTTGGTGGAATTCTTTGTTGCAATGTTTTTTTTTTTTTTTTTTTTTTTTTTATGTTTTCATGGATACTGTTAGTGTATTTGATTTTTAACAACTTCTTTTAAATATCAGATTTTGATAAGATGATTGTTTATTTATATATATATATATATATATATATGTGTATACATACATGAGAAAGTTTAGGTCATTCTATTCACCTAATTTATATCATTAAGCAACACAACAGAAAAAAAAAATATAAAAATCTATTATTATGATTATTATTATTATTATTTGGTTGTTGTCTGGATTATAATCACAAAAATTCTCAATTGGTTCTTTTACATAAAAATAAAAATAAAATAAAATTTCAAAAAATAAGATTCAATTAATTATTTATTTTTAATCAATAAATTTTAAAATTTTATAAAATTAAATCTTTAAAGAACATTGGTAAAAATTTTATATTGAATCAAACAAAAAAACAAAAACAAAAACAAAGAAAAACAAAAAAAAAGGGGATAAAATCAATGTCCATACCTTGTAGAATATGAAAGTATAAAGGAATTGAAATTTAAATTATTCAACTTATTCAAAGCCTATGCTTTCTGCCGATTAAGTATGAATAATTATTAAAAACCATCAATCTACAATATAACAATCCCTCATAATCACTCATTCTGCAAATGAAATAAATCACTAAATAACATTTAAAAGATATGTGTTTCTGGTCTTTATATGTGCACTGGCGAAGTTTGATATCTGTTTCCATGTGTGTTCATTCATATCACACAACCAATGCCTCAATCCATTCAGAACATATCACCATTCACACCCACATCAGCCTGTGCATTCAATCCATAAGTTGCGCCGGTTTTGAAATACGTGAGAAGCTGTGGTCCAAAACAGTATCCATACACCAAAAAGGACAATCGTAATTTCATCGTGGTTTAAGAGAGTTTCTCTTACAGTACATTACACCTTTGTCTTATACGTTATTCAATACCCAATTCAAGGTCGGAGACGAGCGATTGGTGGGTGACTACCTAATGTGGACTAAACAGTTAAACAATTCTGTTCTTGTTATCTTATTCCAGCTCCTCTTCATGAGATTGCACTCCACACAAGCGCCACTTCTACGCCCGCTTCTAACCAATGGAAGGGATGTAAACAAGTGCTTATATACATCGACAACGCCTTAGCCAACCAGCGATCGTCACTAGTACAGATTTACACGTGTTCCTGCACCTCACATCTTCAACACTGCAGTGATCGTTCGCACCCGAAAAGCATGTGCTCATCAGATCATTGTTCGAAGCTCCTCCTGCTGACAAGTCTCCCCCAGATTTGATCTGTGCACGACCCCTCAGTCAACAGGTGCCTTTATAGCATGGAGATCCGCATGGCAGGGCATGTTCTCCGCCATCTTTTGCACAAACTCCCGCCGCTTCCTATTGATAGCGTCCGACACAAAACACGCTTTCATCCGAACCAGCTCGTCGTGGCGATGCTGCTGGGGCCGGCTTCGGAGATCCGGGAGCTGGCGCTGCTTCTCCGCGATCTTCCGCTCGCACTGTCCCCCCTCTCGCCAGCTTCTCCGCCCGCATCATCACGCTTTCCACGAATCCCACACTGGAACGCGACACCACCTCGTCGATCAACCCCACTCTCCTGCCCTCCCACGCCGACACCGGGTCCGTCGACTTCACCATCTGCCCCGCCACTTCCCAACCCACTCATTTCGGTGGCTAGTGCGTCCAGTACTCGGACCCGTACAGCTCGGGTGTACCACCACGTTCCCGTGCACCCATACCAAGTCCGCCGCAATCGCAAACTTGACGCCTCCCGCTCCCCCATTCTCCACCATGGCCGACACCGTCACGCGCTTGCTGCAGGTCAGGACCCGCTGCACCACGTCGTTGATCGAGTTGATGTTCTCCCACGACTCCTGAGCGGGGTCACTAGCGACTTCGATCATGTTCAGATGAATCCCTTTGCTGAAGTAGTTCAGCCCGCCCATGAGCACCAGCACCTTGTTCTCCCACCTTGTTCTCCCACTCCAGCTCGATGTTCTCTAGCTCCTTCCAAATCCCATATAAAATTACCTTCTTTTAAATTAATATTGTTCTTAGTAATTTTTTTATTTTCAAATATTTTCTTCCACTCATCTTGAGTAATATTAGACATTTTTTTTTTCTAGTATTATCATGATAGAACTTATTGAAATGAAGGGTGCAATAGTACAAATGCAAGAGCAATTGAAGAAGTTAATGTTTTTGAAATGAAGAGTGCAATAGCACAAATGCAAGAGCAATTGAAAAAGTTAATGTTTGTTATGCATCTACTCAATTTATCACTATAAGAAGCAACAAGATTAGCAGAGAGTGAAGATATAGAAATGATTGGAATTGCTTCAACATCTACACCAAATCTTATTAATTTTCAACTCAATCCAACTTACAGATTGTGAGAAAAAGCCCAAAAATCGCATCGATGTCACTTGGTTGCCAACTTAAAAATTGATGCAAATATTCCAGTAGTAATTTGTCCTTATTCAATTGTTAATTTCAATTCAAAATTGGTGTATAGTTTGATACTGAATTCTTCTAAGACCATGCCAAATTTCAGCTTCATCCAATTAATAGATCTCTAGATATTGTAGAAATCCTACTCAATCCCAAACTTCTAACTTCTAATACCCTCTTGTACCAAAATCTAGATATCTCTCAATTGCATTGTTAGATTAATATAAAATTTTAAACACACTTAGCACACCTAATCAACCAAATATTATCAAATTTTGAACTATAGATGTAATACCAATTGTACAAACTAGCTAAGAATACTAGTTTCAATTGTATTGCATAAAATCCAAATCGCCAATACAAACCTTGACTTTCAACAATAATTGCAAAGTTATTCCAAATCCTTTCAAAATAAGCCTCACACCTTTGAAATTATCTTAAAGTTAGCTCATTAACTCTTATTTTTTATCTTTAAATGCCTCCTTATTTTGCATTAGATAGTTGTTTTAGTGGCTAGAGGTCTGATTTTGACCGTGTCCTACAAATGGTCAATTTTCAAATATCAATCTAATCTGTTTTAGGAATTTTTTAATCCAAATTTATCTTCAATTTAAATCTAATATCAACCATGCTAATTATTTACCTCTTCTAACCTGATTGTATTAATTTATGGTCTTTCTAAGGCAATAAAAGAATTTCTACAATCTAGAAGGTAAAATTATTAACCAACTTTTAATATATTAGCTATTAAGATAATAAAATAAATTAAGAGGCTTTTATAAAAGTCATATTTGAATATCTTGAATTATTATTGAATTAGGATAATTAGATATTAATTAGAAATTTATTTTTGATTATATTTTCACCATTTAGTCATGTTACAAGATGATAGTGATGTACTATAAAATCACTAATATGTGTTTAATTTGTAAGACATGTGTCTTAACTTGTAAGACAAGTTTCTTATATATATATATATATATATACCATATGATTAGCTTGTATCACAAGCTACCAATATGTGTAACACATGGCTAATTTGTTGGCCAAGTATTCAACTTATCAATTACATGTAGACATGTATGAAGGTGAAACCACATCTATGAAGTTTTTAAGAAGCTTTTCTATAAGATATTATCAAATTAATTTATTTTTACCTATTTCTATTTATTCATATTATTTTAATAATTATGAAAGTAAATATGTATGTATGTAATAATATCAACCATTAATTAAAAGAAGACATTGATTAGATTTGTAAGTTAACATACCTTCATCTCTAGAAAGAAGAAGTGCTAAAGCCATTAATTTAGACATTTGGATTGAAAGAAATATTTATCCAATTGATTCAAAGAGTAGAGTTCTACTTCGATTTATAACTTTAAAATCCTTGACAAAATATATTTTTACTAAAAAAAAAAAGATTATTAATTTATTTTTATTTTTTAGTATAAGAGACTACAAGTCATAATGGATTGTTTAAAAAATGGTCAGCTAATATGTAACATTGGCGTGAAGCATGAAATACTAGAGAGCTTGCTATACAATATAAAAAACAAATACTATTCCTAAAAACATACCTAAAACCATATAAAAATAATAAAAAGCTCTAGTATAAAATTTCTACATTAAAAAAAAAAACTTAATTAATCACAAACTTAAATCAAAGAGAATGCTTTATAGATATCTGAAATTTAAAAAATCTATAAGATAGAATTAAAAGAATCTTATGTTGAATTCCAAAGAGTCAAAAGAAAGCTAAATTTGCTTGTGCTTACACTTTTTGGATACAGTTCTTAAATATAAGCCATAAAAAATTATTAAATGCTTTCAAAGATAAAAGATGTGCCAAAAGAAGAAGAATACAAATTTAATATTCACTTTTGAATTCTTTAATCTATTATATCAAGATAGAATATAATATAATTATATTTAATTAATTTATCATTGATGGAGTATAGGTTGTTACTAGTGCCAAATATGGCATTAAAGTTATAAATTGTTTACTTGAGTTTTGGAAGCAAAAAAAGATTGTTTGGTGATAATAAAACAAAAGTCCAAAATGCAACATTATTTACTTTATTACTATCAAATGTAGAAGTAAAAGATTCTCTACAAGCATCTAAACTTAATAAAGTAATAATCCAAATTACAAACAATATCTTGCAAAAGATAAAAGAAGAAGTACGAACAAAAGATATATTGGCTGCATGTAAATCTTTTAGAATTTTTCAACATGTC